AAGCCAACATTTATACAAGGGGGGCCTGCAGGTTAGTTCAGTTGTTTTAAGCACCTGCTAGGGCAAACACAGTCAGCCACAAGGGCCAAGGTTCAATCCCCAGCTCCACATGCCTTACCATACCTGCCCTTAAGGCAGCCTGAGCCAGCCTTTAAAAAAAGGATAGTTGTATCACATTAGATGTAATTATGAACTTGCTGTAAATGTGGTTTAATCTCCAAATAAAAAAATCCTTCTCCCCCAAAAAAGAATCCTTCTCAACATTTATACAGGAAAGCTATTTTTAAATGGCTCAAGCAAGTAAATAGCAGTAAGCCTTACGGGGGGGGGAGATGTTTTATATTTTCCTCTTAAAAAAAGTTGTGGGGCCAGGGAGCTAGCTCAGCAGAATAAGCAAGTACAAGGTCCTGAGTTCAATCCCCAGTACCGCAAAAAAAAAAAAAAAAAGTGATGGTGGCACATGCCTATAATCCAAGCAATAGGGAGGCCAAGGTAGAAGTATCACTGCAAGTTCACTGCCAGCCTGGGCTATATGATGAGACACTGCTTTAAAAAAAACAAAATAAAAAAGACAGAATTTTCTCATTAGCTCATTGGTAACAGAGTTGACTCTTAGGTAGAGCAATTCAAAAATTCCATGTCCCTTCAAGAAGGCCTTAGAAAGTTTCGCTAGGGTAAAAATCCTGTCTTACCCTGTCCTTCCTATGTAGTACAGGTTTTCCTTCACCCACATGGCCTGGACTTCTCCCAGATATTCCCACTGTCTTGCTGGCCTCCATCTCCCTCATCCCAACTCCTGACCAGCCTACCCATAGATTCATCTTCATGCATGGTTCCACCTCCTCCAGGAAGTGCTTCAGGCCTTGGCAGTTGGTCTCAGCAGCTGCTCAGCCACACTGCTTGCTGGCAGCCTACCAGCTTGCGTGTGCTCTCCCTTCCAAAGTGCCATCCTAGTGTTTAGCCCTCTCCTTCCAGAAGGCTTCTCCCTGCCCTCAGTTGTCCCTAATCTATTCTTTGAAACTTTTATTCTGGCTAGGGATTTAGCTCAGTGGTGCAGCGCCTGCCAGGCAAGCATGAGACCATTAGTTCTGAGTTCAATTCCTAGTACCTAAAAAAACAAACCCTTTTACTCTATGCAGATCTAGAAACATGGGAAATTATGGAGACCTGGTGGGTGGCTAGCCTTGCCTCCCAGCAGAGAAGCTCTGTTTAAATGGAGAATAACCACTTAGGTTGGGATGTGAGAAGATGTGCTGTTATGTAGGGACTGACGAGAGTCTCCTGGGCATCCTTCAAGATCGGATCTGCCTTGGGATAGGGTATAATCCAGGAGAGCTGGAGTACAAGAAAGGTGATATATCCAGGTATGGTGCATGCCTGTAATCCCAGCACAATGGGAGAATGAGCCAGGAGTAGTGCCATGAATTTGAGGCCAGCCTGAGCTACATAGTGAGACCCTATCTGAGTAATACAAAACAAAGACAGACGATACAGCATGACAGGCTTCCCCATCTCTGGAAGTAGGAAAGGCCAAAGATTGTTCCTGGGGTCATCACATTGTCCAGGCCTCAAGGACTAGAGCTTTAGATGTCATAAGGGTGAAGATTTAGGGCATGGTGCTAAGTCTTGTCTCACACCAGCCAATAACTAGTTCCGTGTCCTAGGGTTCCACTGTTGAAGTAGGTACTGATACACCATAGAGAGACCAAGCTGCCCCGGACTAAAGAACAGGCCTTCTTTGTTTGACCTGAGCACTCAGCATATTCTGGGTTAGGTTCTTTAGATCTATATGATTATTTTTACATCTTCAGAAAAGATAAATACCCCCCCCCATCTGATAAAGGACTGATGTACAGAGTATATATGAAAATTTTATAACTCTGTAGTAAGCAAACAGGATCACTGAGAGGAATAGAGCATGTTCAGTGAGGCAGAGCCAAGATTTGCTGGATCGAGAGCTTAGCACCTATGCAGGATCCAGAAGAAAGTGGCCCAGTGTGGCACTTGGGAGGCTGAGGCTAGGGAATTGTGAGTTCAAGGGCAGTTTGAGCTACATAGACCCTGTCTCAAAAATGAAAAGAGAAAAAATAAAATAAATAACTGGACAGCATATGAAGATTGGGCAACACATGTGAGTACTCCATATCAGTCAGTTAACACTTTGTTCTTCTGCCAGCGAGTAATTGGGCCCAGGAAGGTATAAAAGATTCTTTAACCGAGCACAAAAATTCTGTTTACTAAGAACAAGTTTGGCTCTGATAATTGACCTTTTATGATAAAGCATAAAACTTCTTGGTCTTAGGCAGTGTGAAAAGACGTCTTGTGATTATAGTATGCCCTTATGCCTGGGATGTTTGACCTCTGTGAATGTTGATGTAATTGCAAATAGTATCTCCTCTCCCTTCCCCTCCCCTTTCCCCCTTCCCTCTCCATTCTCTTCTGTTCTCCCACTATGCCCCTCTTAATTATAAGGAAATAATTTGGGGTCAGTGATGAAAAGCAAGCAAAACTAAAACCAAAACTAAACCCTAAACAGCAACTTCTTGCTAATGAAAATTTATATAATGTCTGTTAAGTCCCAGTTACTCTGTAGGCTGAGTCAGCAGGATCACTTGAGCCTAGGATTTCAAAGTCGACCTGATGTAGACAACACAGTGAGATCTTGTCTGGCAAACACATATGCACACCTGTGTTTGAGCTGCAGTATCACATGAAAGGACAAGCTATTAAAGACTTCATGAGAGAACATCAGTGAGGTTATATCCATGGAGCTCTTCAAGGATGTGGAAGGAAAATCAAGGGGTTGTGATGTGGTTGAATTTAAAGATGAAGAATTTGTAAAGAAAGCACTAGAGGGGGCCTGCCCCTTAGCTCAGTTCTTTAAGTAGCTGCTTCAACAAAGCAGTCAGGCTCAGGTTGCTGTGGTTCGATCCCCACAGCTCAAGCCAGCCAAACCTGCCCTGAAGGCATTTGGAGCAAAAACCAAAAAAAGAAAGCACTAGAAAATTGGGAGGCTGAGGAAGGTCTTCTCAGTGGAAAACCCTTAAATATAAAGGAGGATCCTCATGGAGAAAATTTTCATAGGGCATTGTAGTAAACAGGCAGATCCTTACCAGGAGGCCATGCCCCTGAGATGGGGTCTGGGTTGATGAGTTTACCACTGTCAATTCTCAATAACCCAAATATTCCTCCTGAAGTTATCAGGAACTTGCAGGCAGGTAGACTTGGTTCCACAATATTTGTTGTTAATCTGGACTTCAAGGTTGGAAGAAATTAAAGAAATGTTCAGTATAGCTGGAACTGTAAAGTGAGCAGATATCAAAGAAGACAAAGATGGTAAGAACAGAGAAACGGGCAGTCACTTTTGAGCATGCAGTTGAAACAGTTTGAGGAATTCCTATGTTAAGTGGGCAGTGTTTATTTGATAGCTCTATACATGTGAAAATGGATGAAAAATCTGTCCTTCATGAAGACTACCATTCACATAACAATAGAACACCACAATTACCATGGGATCTTGGTAGCATTGGAATGAAACTTGGTCCAGGTTAACAATCTATTAGTGCCAGCCAGTTGAACATAGGTGGTGTAATGAAAAATTTAGTTCCCAGTAGTGTGGGAATGGATGGTTCAGGTTTTGGAGGAATGAGTAGGCTTAGAGGAGGAATTTGGTTTGATGGTCTGGAAACAGTGAATAGCATGGGAGGATCTGGCAGAGTACACTGGGTGGGAGAGCTGTACAGTGGTGTGATGACTATTAGCATGGAATGAAATTTTAGCCATGGTGATATTAGAATAAACTGAGACTTTAGAGATTCATTTTGTGGACTTGGCAGTGCAGTGATTGAAGAGTTTGCAAGAAGAATAGGAAGTAGCTTTTAACATAGGTCCAGGGTCCAGTAGGATCTGGAATAAGCAGTGGTATGATCAGGGTGACAGGCATGGGCAGGGGCCTGGACCACAAATAAAAATGGAGAATAAAAAGTCAAAAGGCTGTGCAGCAGTGAGGTTTGATTTTCTGCAGTCACTGAAAAGGCCTGCAGAATGATGAATAGCACCAAAATCAGCAGCAGAGAAATTGATGTCAGCTTAGATTGTAATGCATAATTTCAACTATAGTTGGAACGTTCCTTCATTTGTTTTTGCTTACTCTTCTAGAAAAACTTTTTCTTTGTTTTCGTAATCCTGTGTGCTTACAGAGCCTATAAAAGAACTTCTGAAATTTCCATCAGCTTCCAACAGTATAATGCCAAAAATATACGTCATTATTTCTGTTCATCTTATGTTGAGTTTCTAAATACAGCAAGTCTGGTTATGCTGTTTAAATGACTAGTTATACTGGTTTTAAGTAAGACATTTTCTTGTTGTTTTCACTATGACATACTAGGGTCTGTTTCGGTTGCCCCAGCTTTGTCAACTTATTGTAAGGTAAAAGATAATTTTTTTTCAAAGTTTTTGTTTTATAATATATAGTGGTCCCTAAGAAGAAGGGCTCAGACTAATTAGAATATGATCTTAGTTGGCTTTAAAATTTTTCTTTGGCATAAAGAATTACTATAAGTGTTAGATTTTTGACGTTCAAGTGGTTTTTTATTTGACTTAAACTAAGGGATTTTTTGTGTTCTCCTAGTCATATTTTCCACATAACACTATTAATAAAATCACCCTCCTCAACCCTTTATTTTTTTTTTTTATTTTTTATTTTTCTCAACCCTTTATTATTGCCAGTAATTCCAAGTTCATATAGAACTCAATATAGCAGATCCCACCAGTGTTTAACTCATGTCTTGCTCTAGGAAATACTGGCTGATTGTTGGGTTGCCCTATAGGAGACAGGTCTCCACTTGATGTACTACTTGAAATAAATTTATAATCTTTCCTATGAACAATCAGACAAGTCTTGTCTCTTTTTTTTTTTTTTTTTTTTTTTAAAGAATATCTATCTTGTTTGCCGATGTGTGAAAGACATTGTGTTCATTTTCTTCCCTCATTTCTTCCAGGACAACCCTCCATATGATAAGGGGGCCTTTAGAATTGAAATCAACTTCCCAGCAGAGTATCCATTCAAACCACCGAAGATCACATTTAAAACAAAGATCTATCACCCAAACATTGATGAAAAAGGGCAAGTTTGCCTGCCGGTAATTAGTGCTGAGAACTGGAAGCCAGCGACCAAGACCGACCAAGGTAAGTCACTCCTTAGTCAGTGTAGAGAAGAGAAATCCTACCTTACTACCTCAGGTTCACCCAGAAGTACTGCTGAGGTCCCACCATCCTGTAGGGATGATGAATCTCATCTGAAATATTGACTAGTGCAGGTACCAAAGAGACCCTCCCTTGGTGGTTTACAGCCCAGTAAGACAGAGACAGGCTCAGAAGTTTGCACATGTGGGGGCACTGGCCCTTAGGAGTGGTGAAGTATTACTGGGCTGCCTCAAAGGGGAAGTGGTACTTAAGGTGGGCTCCCACAGCACTTGGCACCTGAACTTAGACTTGAAAGAAAAAAGTAAGTTTGTGAGGTTCTTCCAGGCTCACTGTGGCTGATTTTCAAGGAAGGAACAAAGTCAGGCTTGAACTGCATTCTCGGATAAAACACGTAGTTGGTTATAGTGGACCTACAACTCCCTGGAATTGGCTATAATGTGTGTGTCCATGTGTCTGGATGAACACACAAATGTATGTTTTACTGGGGAAAGTTTTTTTTGTGTGTCTTTTTGAGACAGGGTCTCACTGTGCAGTTCAGGCTGGCCTTGAGCTCACTTTGTAGCTCAGGCTGGTCCTAAACTCAGTGATCCTCGTGCCTCAGTCTCCTGAGTGCTGGGATTATAGGCATGTACCAACACACCCAGCCTTTGGGGACAGCATTTGATTTAGTATTACGATTGCCCTCCCTCTTACCTCATGGAAGTAGCAAGACTGTCTTGTAGGTTGTACCTAGTTTTTATTCCAGACTTTGTTTTGACATCTTAACCTCATATTTTAGGAGGCCTTCTAATAAGTAATAATCAATATAAGGTCTGTTTAAATTACAGAGAATGAATGAAACTGATATTGACAAAGCTATAGGTACAGTTTTTCAGTTAGCTAAGGTAGGAAACCCTAGAAGTTGAAATCCTTTCTTTCTCTCTCTCTCACACACACAAATAATATAATAATAATAATAATAATAAAATAAATCAACCAGGTATAGTGCTACATGTCTGTGGATCCCTACACTTGGCAAGCTGAGGCAAAAAGATGAGCCTGGGCTGTATAGGTGAGTTCAAGGCCAGTTTTTACTACAAAAACTCTCATGTTCAACCATCATGCTTGGCAGGAAAAGTCCTTCCAGGCAAGGCTGCCCAGGAAGGCCATGCAGCTCTCACTCTGGTGATAGTTGAGTCCAAGGTCTTCTCTGAAGGTGTGGAAGCCAGGGCAAGAGAACCTCATAGGAGATGGATACAAGCACTTTGCCATCTCTTGTAGGACCTGGCTGCCTAAGAAGGCCATCATGCAATATTATTCCTTTTTTTTTTTTTTCTCCTTTTCCTTGATACTAGCAATCAAACTCAGAACCTTGAGCTTTCCAGGCAGGTGTTGAGCCACTGAGCTATATCCCTGGCCCCAATATTGTTCCTATTTTAGCTTCAGATCTAAGTGTGTGGCCCATGTCTTTCACTTTTTCAAGTTGCGGCTGTCCTATGCGCATGTGCGTGCACACACACAAGCAAGGAAGGTCTTCTTTCTCTTTTGAAACATGCTTTATTTCAGATTATTAAAGGTAAAAATTTTGGTATAGGTTCTAGGCACAATGATCTCCACGATTACTATTTTGTGATTTGGTACAATTTAAGATTTCTTTCTAGAAAATTACTTTATAAATACTTTGTAGCAGTCCTTGATCCTGTCCTCATATATATCAGGAATGCAAGCCAGGTGTGGTAGTGCACAACTGTAATCCCAGCATTTGGCAGGCTGAGACAGGATGATCACTGTGACTTACAGTTTAGCTTAGACTGTGTAGTAAAGTTGAAGGCCAGTCTGACTACAAAGCATGATCTTGTCTCAAAAAAAAAAAAAAAAAAAAAAAAATTACCCCTAGCACTTCATGTCACAGTCTTTAAGTTTCTGTAATCTTTTAGGGCATTATAAATATCCTTAAAAATGAGTCGATTTCTTGGGAGTATAGCTCAGTAATAGAGAACACTTGCCCAGTTGTACAGAGCTCTGGGTTTCATTATCAGCAGTGCAGATAAGTAAGCAAACTTAGTGACTAGCTGGCCTGTTGGTACACTAGGCTGGTAATGTTGGGCTGAGGCAAGAGGATTGCAGGTTCCAGCCAACATGAGCAAGTTAACAATTTAGCAAATTCATGTCTCAAAAAAATAAAAATGCTGTGAAATGTAACTTAGTCTCCAATACTATAAACAAAAAACCAGCTCAAAGTAATAACAGTTTATTACTGTTCAATATCTGCATTAATCTAGCCACTCCTCAAGGGTTGGGATGTACCAGTTCATATTGTCCACATGTATGGCACGTATTGTTAGCTGGGCACCTCATTTCTTCTTGTGCCCTCTTTTTGTCCATGAGCCAAATTGTGCCTCTTCACAACATGAAGGTGAAAGAAGAAACTTCCAGACCATTTATGGCTCAGATGCAGAACTGGTAACTGTGTCACATCTTCTGGATTCTGTTGGTCAGGCAAGTCCACACTAGAGAGAGGAGGTAGACTTTTTGGCAGCTAAGAAGAGGGCCACGCAAGGGCCAACTAAATTGCTCAGTGGATTAAAGCACCTGCAAGCATGCATAGGGACCCAGGGTTTGATCCCCTGGCCTGCTGTGCTGGCCCCGCCCCCAGGGCATGCTGAGACAGCAGTTGAGACTGGGTGTGGTGGCGTATGCCTATAATCCCAGCTCTTGGGAGACTGTAAACAGGAGGATCACTACAAGTCTCATCTAGTAGTGAGACCCTGAATACCCTGTAGACCCTTCCCTAAAATATAAAAAAAAAAAAATAAACAAGAAGAGGGCTGTGCAGTACAAGGAAGTTGTTTACAGAGGCAGAGCGAGCATCTGAGTGATGATACATTTCCTCAATGGATTTCCAGGCCTACCTGGGCCCACTTGTCCCAGAAGGTGGCTCCTGGGCGTACCATTGTTGCTGTTGATATAGCGGGGGAAAATGAAACTCCCAACCTGAAAGGTACCTGGGATGAGTTCGTGTTCTCTCAGACCGAAGAATGAATTTTAGGAACAAATGGAGGTTATGAACAGAATGTATTTATTGGGGGGAAAAAAGCTCCTGTCCAAGAGAGGGACAGGAGGGGGGCCCTGAGTGGGTGGTCCAAGGAAGCTCTCTCTTCCAGGGACTTTAATAGTGTAAAACCATGCGAGTCTAAGGTGGAGAACATGGGAACTCACCTAGATGGGCATGAGGTGGGGCAAAACTATGGTCAACCAATGAGATTACAAGCACCATTGCTCAGGTAAAATTAAGTCCAGGACCAAATGAGGAAATGAGTTACCTAGCAAGTGGGCACGAATATAGAACAGGACTTTGTCTAGTAACCAACCGGCAGTAATCGGATCAGTGATTTTTCCTTACTTCTTCAGGGTGATAATCCCGGATGCTAATCTTTAGGGAGGTAAGCATTTGTTTGACCTTTGGTCTCTAGGTCTGGCCCACAGCAGGAGCATCCGTCCCTCTTAAAGTTGTAAGGTATCTCATCTTTGTTATCTCCTTCGAGGGCCTATAAATGTCTATAAATGCCCTGTCTGACTGCCTATAATATTTCTAACTTAGCTGCCTGCAACACTCTCACTTTCCCTATCTTTGTATGTTCAATGTCCCTGTTTTTGTGAATCTATTTTCTTTTTATTTTATTGAGAAACATATGTGAATAAGACAGTTTCAAAGCTGATTAATAGGACAGTTTCGATAATCAGTACATTGTACATTGTTACCTTCTTAGTGGTTATTCATAGTATAAGAAGCAGACAGGATATCCTGTCCAAACACTATTAGTACACCTCTTTCTTTTCATTGAATTAAGCAAAAGTAGCTGTATATCTATCCTATTTTGTATGTGTGAATACAAAATGATCTTTTCTTTGTATTCCCCCCGCCTTTTTTTTTTAGTCTTGTCAGAGGTGGATATTCTATTGGCATCTAAATACTGTAGGTGTTTGAATTCAGCTAAACAGTCCAAAACTGTCCAGCAGTCTATAATATTAGTGGGTTATCCTCAGAAGTTATTGACTTGAGGGGCTGGTGAGATGGCTCAGTTGTCTAAAGCACCTACTCAGAACAAGCTTAGCAAAGCACAGGGACCACGGTTCAATCCCCCAGCACCACATGCCAGCCAGCCCCGCCCCCTGGTGGGCTGAGCTGGCCACACACACACACACACACACACACACACACACACACACACACACACACATAAATAAATAAATGAATAATTTTAAAAAATAAAAAATTAAGAGGTTATTGACTTGAGCCTTTTACAGTTCATTGTATTAATATGGCTTTATTTTTATTTTTTTTAATTATTTATTTATTTTGTGTGTGTGTGTGGCCAACTCAGCCCACCAGGGGGCGGGGCTGGCTGGCATGTGGTGCTGGGGGATTGAACCGCAGTCCCTGTGCTTTGCTTAGCTTAGCTTGTTCTAAGTAGGTGCTTTAGACCACTGAGCCATCTCACCAGCCCCTGGCTTTACTTTATATACCTTGTTTTTATACTTTTCTGCTGGATGGTTAACACCAAGATAAAGCAAGACCTATATAACAAGAAATGTAACTTTTGTATCTGATAAGGTCAGTCAAGTACCTTCAGGATTTATCCTGTAGCCCTGTATCGCACTTTGTAGATCCTTTGTCAGTGTCAGCCATGAGGTTGAGTCACGGCCGTTGCTTGACCAATTTGCTCTCTGTGAAAGCCTGAGAGGATGTTTTTTCTCTCCATGTGACTTTCCCCAGGCACACTATACCTAATCGATCACATTCCTCTATGGCTCCATAATCTCCTTGATCAGAAAATTTGGAGCACAATTGAGTTACATGATGTTAAAATACAGGTTCTCCTGTGTCCCGAGTCTTCACTGACCTTGAAAGACTAGGGCTAAAATGTTGACTGTCCTTGCAGCCCTTCCTTTTCTCCAATTTTGATCTGCTAACTTAGGTTGTTAACCCTCCAGAAGAGAAG